GCAGGGACTGAGTGAGGTGCCTCTATCTTCAGGAAAAAGGAAGAGTGACGTTGGTGGTGGTGGTGGTGTGCTGTGGAGTCGGTTCTGACTCATAGCAACTCTCTACAGAGTTTCCAATGAGCAGCTAGTAGGTTTGAACTGTTGACTTTGTGGTTAGCACTCCAGTACTTAACCTATAGCATTGTTGTTGTTAGGTGCCGTCGAGTCGATTTTGATCCATAGTGACCCTGTATAGGATTTCCGGGGATCAGCTGGTGAGCTTGAACCGCCGATGTTGTGGTTCAAATGACTTTGCAGTCCAGCGCATTAACCCACAGCGCCATACCAGCATTGTTGATGTTAAGTACAGTGGAGTCGGTTCTGACTCAGCAACCCTATACAGGCTTTCCGAGGCTGTAAATCTTTATGGGCACAGAAAGCCTCATCTTTCTCCCAGGGAACAGCTGATAGTTTCGAACTGCTGACCTTGAGGTTAGCAGCCCGATTCAAACTCGGCTTCCTGGAGGACACAACATTCAGGCTGGCTGGCTGGTTGGGATTTGAATGAATGGGAATGGAGCAGTACTGAGCATCAAGAGCCAAGCCTGGATTAGGAATGGGAGCTAGACAAAGAGGGTGAAGTTTAATTGGAGCCAAGACCAGTGGGTGGTCTTTTAGCAGGGTGCAGCAACAAACTGCTCTGAGGCTTAAGGTAAACTTAGTGCATGAGAACCTCTGGGGATGCAGCGTGTTTGATGCCCACCCTGAGTGCAGGGGGAGTAGAAAATACACTTAAGGGCAAGGCATCCCCAGAAAGCTTCCCTGAACACCAACCCCTTCCCAGCCCAATAATACTGCCCTGTTCCAGTCTCCAAAAGCTGTATTTATAGCCACTTAGTTTTGATGGTGGAGTCCTGGTGTGGTGCTGTGGGTTAATGCGCTGGACTGCAAAATTGGCTTGAACCACAAGGTTGGCGGTTCAAGCTCACCAGCTGCTCCTTGGAAACCCTATACAGGGTCATCATGGGTCGGAAGGGACTCGATGGCACTTGACAACAGTTTTGATGGTGGAGTCCTGGCGTGGTGCTGTAGGATAAACACTAGACTGCTAACCATAAAAGGAGCTCTGGTAGCGTAGTGGTTACGAATCGGGCGGCTAACCTCAAGGTCGGCAGTTCGAAACTACCAGCTGTCCCGTGGGAGAACTATGAGGCTTTCTGTTCCTGTAAAGATTTACAGCCTCAGAAACCCTGTACAGAAACCCTGTACAGGGTCACTATGAGTCAGAACCAACTCCATGGTACTTAACAACAACAACCACAAGGAGTCCTGATATGGTACTGTGAGTTAATGTGCTGGACTACAAAGTTTGTTTGAACTGCAAGGTTGACGGTTCAAGCTCACCAGCTGCTTCTTGGAAACCCTACACAGGTTGCTGTGGTGCAGCACCAACTCAACAACAACTAACCACAAGGTTTGTGGTTCAAAACGACCAGCCATTCTTCAGAAACCCTATACAGGGTTGATATGAGTCTGAACCTACTCAATGGCACTTAACTACAAAGTTTTGATGATTGCCCTGAGCCCAAAGGGCAAGGGTTTTATCTATTTACTATCAAACTCCAGGTACCTAGGTACAGGGTCATCAGCTGCTTCTTGGAAACCCTATACAGTGTTGATATGAGTTGGAACTGACTCGACAGCACTGAAGAACAACAGCAGACTGCCAAGCAGGGACTGAGTGAGGTGCCTCTATCTTCAGGAAAAAGGAAGAGTGACGGTGGTGGTGGTGGTGGTGTGCTGTGGAGTCGGTTCTGACTCATAGTAACCCTGCATAGGGTTTCTGAAGCTGTAAATTGTTATGGGAGCAGAAAGCCTCATTTCCCCCCTGCAGCACATCTGGTAGTTTTGAACTACTGACCTTGAGGTTAGCAGCCCGACCTGTAATCACTACAGTACCAGAGCTCTGTAGAGTGATATTTGTTGTTATTGTTAAGTGCCATCCAGTTGGTTCCAACCCATAGTGACCTTGAGTAGGGTTTTCAAGGAGCGACTGGTGAGCTTGAGTCGCTGAGCCGCCGCTATGTGGTCCAAACTGACTTTGCAGTCAAGTGCATTAACCCACAGCACTACACCAGGGCATTGTTGTTGTTATGTGCTGTGGAGTCGGTTCCGACTCACAGTGACCCTGTACAGGGTTTCCGAGGCTGTAAATCTTTATGGGAGCAGAGAGCCTCATCTTTCTCCTGCGAAACAGCTGGTAATTTCGAACTGCTGACCTTGAGGTTCACAGCCTGATTCGTAACCATAAGGTCAGCAGCTCAAAGCTACCAGCTGCTCCTTGTAAACCCTATACAGACTTGCTATGAATTGGAATCAAACTCTAACTCACTTAACAACAAGTATAAAATGGGCAGTTCTTGTGTGGTGCTTTAGGATAGGCACTGTACTGCTAATCACAAGGTAGGTGGTTCAAACCTTCCATCTACTTCTTGTAAACCCGATACAGGGTTACTATGAGTCAGAACAGACTCAACAGCACTTCACAACAACCATATAAAATGGGAGTAATGGTGTGGCCCTGTAGGGTAAGCACTGGACTGCAAAGGTAGATAGTTTAAACCTACCAGCTACTCCTTGGAAACCCTATACAGGGTCACTGTGAATCCGAACAGACTAGATGGCAGTTAACAACAGTACAAAATGGAGTCCCGGTATGGTGCTATAGGATAAGCAATGAACTGCTGACTGCAAAGTCCGTTGTTCAAACCTACCAGTCACTGCACCAGAGAAAGATAAGACTTTCTATAAAGATTTAGTCTTAGGGTTGCTCTGAGTTAGAATCAACTCGATGGCAGTGGGTTTGAGGTCTTGTTTAAAAAAACATGATTATAAGTTCCGGATGGCAGTAGCAGAGCATTAAGTCATGCCTGGAGCCCTTGTGCAACTGTCCCGGTCACCCATGCATGAAGTCACCTAGAGTCCCTTCATATGGTAGACATTTTCTCTAGCAACTGGGGGTACAGTGGGTGGTTGGCAGGTTTAAGTCATCCCAGAAGCAATCACATGAAGGTTGCAAGAGTTTCCAGACAGAGGGGCAGCAAAGAGCTTCCATAGAAACCAATCTTGGTGAGTTGTTTAACTGCTCTGAGCTTTAGTTCTTCATCTTAAAATGGAAATTACAGTAAGTAAACACTATGTTGATGTTAGGTGCCAGTCTTGTTGATTTTCTGTTCCTAGTGACCCCGTGTGACAGAGCTGTCCCATAGGGTTTTCTAGGCTGCAGTCTTTACTGGAGCAGATCCCCAGGTCTTTTCTCCCGTGAAGCCACTGGGTGGGTTCAAACCACCAACCTTTCTGTTAGCAGCTGAGCACTTAACCATTGTGCCAC